TTTATCCAAGAAGAGGGAGAACCAGGTCCAGTTCCTTTGACCAAGAGCACCTCACCAGCGTCAAGCAACCTCCCACAAAGAGAGGGTGTATATATTACCTGGAGTTTACCTGGAGAGAGTTCCGGGGGTCAACGACCCCGCGGCCCGGTCTGTGACCAGGCCGCCTGGTGGATCAGAGCCTGATCAACCAGGCTGTTACTGCTGGCTGCACGCATATATGCTCTCATATGCAAATGTCGCGAACAAGCGATACAAGATGCGAAGCAACCACGGGGGGAGTTGAATGATAGCTCTAGGCCTTTCGTGTTGCAACCAACACATCAGGGGCTTGCAATGTTGCAGAAAAGAGGAGGTCCAAGCAAATACGATCACAGGATAAGTCAGTGCGTCATCGAGGACTCTTATTTCCGTTGGGATCCTTAAATCTTGCCTACCCCACCAGGATGCGACCCACACCAGTCTACTAACACCTAGGTACCTACTTGCTTGCTAGGTGAACGGGGACAACCGATATAAGGAATAACGCTCCATGTTTTCACCCAAAGTGTCCTATAGCTCAGCTCATACGCTGAGGCCCTGGGATCGATCCCCCGTACGGCTGGAAAACATTGGGACGTGTATCCTTAACACACCTGCTGTCCCTGTTGACCCATCAGTAAAATAGGTACCTGGGTGCTAGTCAACTGGTGTGGATCGCATCCTGGGACAAAATTAACCTAATTTGCCGAAATGTTCTGCATAATAAGGGGCTTTCTATATAGTAGTATGTCACTGATGTCAGCTATTGTCCACATACCGTGCACATAGATATAAATATAATACAATAATAACCCTTGCCGGGAATCGAACGACAGACATTGTGTGTGAGGCGAGAGCGTTGCCTACCAGGCCACGGAACACCTGCAGCTCCCACTGACACCCAACCATTCGACTTTTATTTTGTTTTAGATCTACTTACCAAAATATTCGCCCCACTAATACTATTCTTTGTTTCAGTTTTAAAGTCTGTTACAAAGCAACACTTGTCTATATTGTTCTTAAATCATTTTTTTTACCCAAATTTGAGTCTTATTTGATATTTAGTCATGTGCTTTAGGCACTATTGTGGTAGTGTGTTGGAGATAGTAACGCTGTATGTAAAGTAAAAGGACACAAGTGCAACTGTGACATTTTATTGTGTTCCACTCATCCACAACTCTATTACCAAACCAGTGCTTTCCTATATCCTTCCAGAATCCGAAGTTTTCCAACTTAAAACCATTGCTACCAGTCCTGTCTAGGCTAGATATTTTCAGCACGTTTATTTACATCCCCTTTATTTATTCCTGTCTTCCATTTATACACCTCGATCATATTCCCCCCTAATTCTACACCCTTCTAGAGAGTGCAGATTCAGGGTCCTCGGTCTATCCTCATAGGGAAGATTTCTGATATATGGGATTAACTTTGTCATCCTCCTCTGTATGTTTTCCAGAGCATTTATATCCATTCTATAATACGGTGACCAAAACTGTGCAGCATAATCTGAATGAGGCCTAACCAAGGATATATAGAGTTGAACAACCTGGGGACTCCTATTATTTATGCTTCTTGATATGAAGCCAAGGATTCAGTTAGCTTCTGGTAGTGGTATGTTGGAGATAGTAGTGGTGGTGTAAGCTAGTATCACAAAATGCAACTTTAGGACATCAAGAGACGTTTCGCCCAATGGGGGATTATCATACCAATACAGAAAAAAATATATAAACAGCGAGACGAGCCAAGTAGTGAGCCCCTGACGTTACCAGACCCGTATGTTCTCTGTATTAGATTGAAAAGGCCCAAAGTGGGCGAAACGTGTCCTAGTTACATGCCCCTAATGTTGCATTTGTGTCTTCAATCCACGGTTTATTTGTATAGTCTGTATTGGTGGTGGTGTGTTGGAGAGGGTAGTAGTGGTGGGGATGTCGGAGAGGGTGGTGGTATTCTGGAGAGAGAGCTGGTGTTGGAGAAAGCAGTGGTGTTGGAGAGGGTAGTAGTAGTGGTGTTGGAAAGGGTAGTAGTAGTGGTGTTGGAAAGGGTAGTAGTGGTGGTGTTGGAGAGGATGGTAGCATGCTGGAGAGAGTGGTAGTGTGGCCTAGTGTGCTGGCAAGAGGATCGTATTAATGATGGGAGTGAATCGTTAATTTTTGTACGTTTGTAACTGTGACATATAAACGTGTCATTGGATGTGGTAATGGTGATTGAGGTGGTGATAGCTGTGGTACTGATAATGTTAGAATGTAGCCATAACGAATGTATTTACTGGTATTATTAATGGGGCTCAGATGGGATTATAATGGAAACTACCAGTTGAACATTAAAATGGTATAAAATACCGACAGGTTGTTAGGTAGGACACACATGCAACAGTTAGGTATCTTTATTTCTTTGTTTCAGACAATGGAACAATGCTCTTCTCCAGACTGAGGGACTGACCACCTCAAAACTTTAAGGGTGATGGACTGATTACATCGTCTTCAAGTCTCTTCTGCTTCAATCAACTTTTCTGTACTCGACTGAAGAAGCCTACTGTGTAGGCGAAACGTTTCGAAATAAAGATACCTAACTGTTGCATATGTGTCTTACCTAACAAACTACCAGTTGTATCTGTTTGTTTGATGTTATTGCTGGCTGGAAATTGTATACTGTAGACTTATCTTGTTCCAATAGATTTTACGGCGTTCATGTTTTTCAACGTATTTCCAATTTCTAGTCACTATTTTCTAATTTCACTCGCATCTAATCAGTGTTAATATATTTGTTCACTCGTGTCGTTATAGCAGTTTTTCCAGGTTTCAAAAATATTGGAAGTACAAGCTACTTAAGAACGTTCTTTATATTGTCAGGAAGGATATAGGAAAGCACTGGTTTGGTAATAGAGTTGTGGATGAGTGGAACAAACTCCCGAGTGGTGTAGTCTTAAAAATAGGTTAGATAAATACATGAGTGGGTGTGAGTTGGACCTGATTAGCTTGTGCTATTAGGTCAGGTGCCGTGTTCCTTCCTTAAGTGAATGCGACCTGACCCGACTAGATTGGGACATTGGCTTAAGCCGGTAGGAGGCTTGGACCTGTCTCGCATGGGCCAGTAGGCCTGCTGCAGTGTTCCTTCTTTATTATGTTATGTTCTTCAGCAGGTTTGATGGCCCATGCTAAGCAGGTCCCTCACCTACTGGCCCAAGCCAATCAGGTCCAAGTTAAATGAAGAAATGTGATTTAAGAAGAACATAAGAACGAAGGAACACTGCAGAAGGCCTACTGGCCCATGCGAGGCAGGTCCAAGTCTCCTACCGGCCAATGCACCCAACCTAGTCAGGTCAGGTCACATTGACTTAAGGGAGGAACACGGCAACCGACCTGGTAGCACAAGCTACCAGGTCGAATACTTTATACAAATTACTGGACATGGATTAATATTGCTAGCTATGCACTGCAACCCTTACCTGTGCTTTGCATGGCTTTACGATCTCCGCCGCGCACATACAGGGCTACGATGGGAACTGAATTCACTACTCTTCCGAAGGCACATTTCGAACACCTTCCTGATATGTATATAATTTTATACGTCGGTATGAGACCTTTTTCAATATTCAATTATTTTCCACATATACTTTTCTTTCTAATTTGCCAGATGTTTTCTATCATTCTTTGAGCCACTCACGGTAGTCTTTTGAGACTATTCATTTTGGTAAATATTTTTCATTATGTCTATTAATCCTTTGTGTTTAATTAAAAGAAACTTGTAATAACCTCAGCTAAACTTATAATCACATTTTATAGTTTGTTTATATTGATACTCGTGTCACCACTGCTGGCAGTATTGAAGAAAATACAGACTTTAGAACTATGACGTGTAGTTAATTATAATTTTTGGGGAAACGCCAAACCTGCAGGGGTCATACAGCGCTTGGGAAATGTGAGGCAGTCATATGCGAGCCATGAGGAAGGTAGGTTTAAATTCCTTGAAGATAAAGACACTGTTCCTCTCTGGCAGGAAGGCCTTTATGAAGGTGGGGGGTGGGGGGTTAGAGAATTTTGTTGATGGGGAAGCGCAAAACCCACTGGGGTCGTGCAGCGCTTGGGGAATGGGAGATGAGGCTTAATCCGAGCAAATGGAGAGTAGCTCCACTTTCTCTGATCACGAGCCTTTCACCAGCATCAAGGCTCCACCACCACCACTGAAGTATCTAGAGAACTGCTGACCGAGCTCTAGACATCTATGATTATTTTTTCGACTATGTAGTTAAGGTTTTTCATAATCGATTTGAATTGAAATTATAACTACGATTTGTATACCAGATCTCAGTGGATCTTTTAGTTTACAAAGTATCTCTCAAAACATTTTGTTTATAAGAATTTTTTTTTTTAAATTCAACTTAAACAGCCAGAAGCCTACTCCAACTTGTGAGTAGCAACCGCAGTGTACAGCATCTTAGATCAAAGGGGGGAATCAGCTTTTAAAGGTTTAGAATATAAAATTATAGCCATTTTTCTTAAGTTCTCTGTATTTTCACTTCAATAATATTTTTCAAATAAATTGTACTCATATCACAAGGTATATGTTTCCACTCACCTGATAGCTAATATAAGAAAAAAAAAATAATTTAACTGACTAGCAACTTAAAAATTAACACAGATTTGATATTTCAGTTCAACTTAAGTCAAAGTTGAGCTCCTCTAGCGGGAACAAGTCACATTAATACTAAGTCGCCCTAACAGCACGAAAACTTCACAATCACTTCGGGAAATAAATTATCTAATCACTTCACTAGCTTTTTTAAGAAAAAACTTGGAGGATTCGTCATATGTAAAAATAGGTCTCATCCATTTTTTGAGACAAACGTTACATTACTGGGAGCTCTTGTTTATATATGTGTATTATTATATATAATCAAGTTAACACAGCCTGTTGGAGCTTATGATCAAGCTTAACTTCACCACTGGGACCTCAACCAAGAGTAGTGAAGAAAAACCAAGGAGTTGAATGCATTGGACATTTTATTTATACTGTACAAAACGATTTTCTAGTAAAATTAGACGTTTTGTGGAACAAAATAGCTTTTTTTTACAGGCATATATTACAAGATAAGCATGCACCAACAAGGAAAAATGTACACAATTGTATCACTACCCATGAATTGCTTAAAGCAAAAAAAATGTCGCTAAAGCTAAACATTGACGAACTGAGCTAGAACATTTTTCATAAAATGAAAATAAAATACTGCGACCGAATTAAATCACAGACACTTTAAAAACTTTGACTTTGTACCATCTGAAAAAGTTACATTTTTCAGTCATAGGGTGAACTGGGATATCTTGGCTGTGCCAGAGCCAGGCAGCCGCGGTTGTTATATCACAACTTAACTACCACGGCAGCCTAGACGAACGGCTGCTAGAGCCATCCGCTGCCCTCCACTCGTCCACTTGTTAGAGAAAGACAGGCTGCTTTAACCCCCCAGCTCGCCATGGTCGCAAAAGGTACACAAGCCCTGAACCACACCAGGGGACTTGGAATAGACGGAACCGATGCGATTCCTGGTCCCAAAGGGTGGTTCGTGCCCGGGCTAGTAGAACCACAGCTATGTGCTTAAGGGTTAGGTAAGTACGAGGAGGCATGCAATGGCCAGCATCAGAGCAGCAGTGATCTTCATCCCATGATGGATAACGTTGTCCCACTCGCGTCTACACGACCAAACACCCACAACACTTAATAGGTATATTATATTATATAATATAGCTCATTATATACATAAATATTAATGTTTACAAATAATCTTAGAATTTTTCCCGTTGTGATTGAGGGCGACGTCGGTCGTTCAGACGCTGGTCAAACAACCGAACCTTCATGGAGGCGGGTGGTATTCTGATCACTTGTTGGTCCCTGATTGTACTTTCAACTGTTGGCGTGGTTGAGATCACAAGAGTTGTCACGGAGTGGGGCTCAACTTGACACGAAGAGCCGGTCCATCTGTAGAGACCGCGCGTCCAGCCCTCCCCGAAGAGATTCCTTGCACTTGACCAGGTTAGCACCATCCTTTCCAATGATGAACATGCTTAAGTGCATGGCTGTCGCTGCTGCATGTTGCTGCTGCTGATGTTGCTGTTGGGTCGTCACAGGAGACAAGGGCGGGGAATGGTGGAGGGGGCTGGACACCACGACGGACTTGGACGGCGAGAAGTGATGGTGATGATGGTGGTGGTGATGGTGGGGATGCGTGACTTGTTGGAGATGATATGCAGGCAGGGCAGGTGGAGGTGTAGTCGCAGGCTGGGGCAGTGCCTTCGCCGGGGACTTGGTCTCGGTGGGAGGTGGGGAAGAGCACTTGTTGGGTACTTCTTCGTACAGGACACAGATAGACCCGTTCTCGCCGATCCGGTAGGCCACCTCCATTGGATCGACCCACATGGTGAGCTCAGAAGGAAAGAGAGATCTGAGGAAAGAGACAGCCAGGCCCATCATGAATCCCGCTCTGGCGATCAGTGGATCCAGGTTACCGTTGATTCTGATGCAGCGGTAGCCAGAACCCTTAACCGGTTTGTCGGGGAACCAGTGGTTGGTGTAGTGTCGGAGAAGAATATCACAAACATTTTCACGAAATTTCTCCAACTGCTTCTCTGTCAAACCGCTGTTATTAAGGCGCGCCAAATCGACTAAGAAATTGGCCGCCGATTTTATCTCTAATCTCATATTCGTTGAGACACTTGAGAGATCAACAGGTTGACGGCAAATATGGGCGAACCGTCATAAAACACTTGAGTAATAAGTCTTGGTCGTGATGCTTCAGCTGACCAACAGACGGGGGACTAGTATATCTGGCACTTGTCGACACAGCCTGGGTAAAGGAGGATGGCTCTTATATTCTTTGGTATTGGCCGTCGTTACACTGACTAATAGGATGATATACCTAGTAACATCACAGTCTGTATCTGTCCTTGGACGGGGGATACTAAGGAGTGCGGGTCACGCTACTCGGCACATCCTCCTCCTTTCGTGTCTCTCTCCTGACTGAAGCTCTGGACCGAGTGAGCTTGTTGTTGTTGGCTTTCACCGAGTGACGTCACTGCATCAACGAGCCAATCAGCGCGCGCGGGCTGCCGTTTCCCGTCACGTGACCCGTCCTGGTAGCCATTTTCTAAACAAAGAACGGCTTCTCGCTCAAACATGGACGCCAAGCCAGGGTTCTAACAAAGAGTGATACTGACGCCTAAGCACCCCAGGATACGCCCAAACTGACAAAAAACTACCTCACTCTGCTGAAAGTATTCCTCCAGACAATCTAACATAGAGTTTCAGCGCAAATACAGCCTCCAGATCCCTCCGTGTGATTCAACTATCGACACATGAAGTTGAGTTTCACTAGAAAGCTGGAATGGCCTGACTTTGAGCCTGTTTGTGAAGGAAACTCCAACGTTATCCTCGTCAGAGACAACGTGGCACTTCAATGCCGCAGAATATTCATTAAATTCGAACTTGACTGGCGTTTTTTAAACAATGATATTTCTAGTTGCCCTGATGAATTTGCATATCTGTAATTGGACGTACAGCTGTGAGAGTTCCCCTTAACATTTAATATCATCGTTGATGATGGACTCCCGGGCTTCCTTCATCAACATACATCAACACACATTGCTAAACCAGGAAGTCTTAACATATTGGTACACTTCAGAGCGCTGGAACCCACACTAAACAGGTTTAGATGTATAACTGTAGTTGAGCAACCAATGTGTCCACTGAGTCGTCTTTACGTTGAGTTTTATAAGAATGATGAACAGAGCAAGTTTTGACTTTAGTGAAACCTGATGAAGTTCTACGCAGTGAAACCTGATAAAGCTCTACGCAGTGAAACCTGATAAAGCTCTACACAGTGAAACCTGATAAAGCTCCATCCAGAGCGAAATGTAGTCTCAAGAGAAATGAACATTGCAGTAGGTCTAACTCCCGATCAGTTTGTTTTTTCACTTGCGTGGCTGTCCAGCCCCATCTCTCTCCTTCATATCCATACACTGTACATATGTGAACATTAAAATGGTACTGTACATATGTATCAATGGGGTATCATGATGCTGGTTTCTTATGTTCTTATGGTGTAGGGCTCTTGATATGAGGAACTGGAGCCATTCTCCCCCTTCCCTGGATAGGTTCAGATAATGAGAATGCCAACAGCAGCAAGATGTGTGGGGAAAAAGGAGCGTGTTCAGCACTGAGGATGTTTAATTAGGAGACGTTTCGCCCCCTCAGGATTGAACCTCGTTAACTCAACTTCCCCAGGATTGAACCTCGTTACCTCAACTTCCCCAGGATTGAACCTCGTTACCTCAACTTACCCAGGATTGAATCTCGTTACCTCAACTCCAGGATTACACCTCGTTACCTCAACTTCTCCAAGATTGAACCTCGTTACCTCAACTTACCCAGGACTGAACCTCGTTACCTCAACTTCCCCAGGACAACCTCGTTACCTTAACTTCCCCAGGATTGAACCTCGTTACCTCAACTTCCCCAGGATTGAACCTCGTTACCTCAACTTCTCCAGGACTGAACCTCGTTACCTCAACTTCCCCAGGATTGAACCTCGTTACCTCAACTTTCCCAGGATTGAACCTCGTTACCTCAACTTCCCCAGGACTGAACCTCGTTACCTCAACTTCCCCAGGATTGAATCTCGTTACCTCAACTTCCCCAGGATTGAACCTCATTACCTCAACTTCCCCAGAATTGAACCTCGTTACCTCAACTTCTCCAGGACTGAACCTCGTTACCCCAACTTCCCCAGGATTGAACCTCGTTACCTCAACTTCCCCAGGATTGAACCTCGTTACCTCAACCTCCCCAGAATTGAACCTCGTTACCCCAACTCAACGAATCTCAGCATGGTCTTACAAAGGGGCGTTCCTGCCTTACGAATTTATTAACTTTGTTCACTAAGGTATTTGAGGAGGTAGATCATGGTAATGAATATGATATTGTGTATATGGACTTCAGTAAGGCTTTTGACAGGGTCCCACATCAGAGATTATTGAGGAAAATTAAGGCACACGGAATAGGAGAATTTTTTTCCTGGATAGAGGTATGGTTGACAAATAGGCAGCAGAGAGTTTGCATAAATGGGGAGAAATCAGAGTGGGGAAGCGTCACGAGTGGTGTTCCACAGGGGTCAGTGTTGGGCCCCCTGCTATTCACAATCTACATAAACGACATAGATGAGGGCATAAAGAGCGACATACGCAAGTTTGCCGATGACACCAAAATTGGCCGTCGAATTCATTCTGACGAGGACATTAGAGCACTCCAGGAAGATTTGAATAGACTGATGCAGTTGTCGGAGAAGTGGCAGATGCAGTTTAATATAGACAAATGCAGAGTTCTAAATGTTGGACAGGACAATAACCATGCCACATATAAACTAAATAATGTCGATCTTAATATTACGGATTGCGAAAAAGATTTAGGAGTTCTGGTTAGCAGTAATCTGAAACCAAGACAACAGTGCATAAGTGTTCGCAATAAAGCTAATAGAATCCTTGGCTTCATATCAAGAAGCATAAATAATAGGAGTCCTCAGGTTGTTCTTCAACTCTGTGTATACTTGGTTAGGCCTCATTTAGATTATGCTGTGCAAAGAAAGGTATAAAATACCGACAATATGAAAGTTAAGACACATGTGCAACATATGGATATCTTTATGTAGTAGACGTTCGCCATCCAGTGGCTTTATCAATACAGTTCTAGAATAAATAGGAAGACATAGAACTATATACAAAAGATAGTAACAGTCCTTAGTAACACTAACTCAACCAGGACGATTACCTCACTTTGTATATATTCTACTGTCTTCCTATATTCCTAGAATCTGTATTGATAAAGCCATGGATGGCGAACGTCTACTACAATTAAAATATCCAGATGTTCACATGTGTCTTAACTTTAGATAGGCACAGTTTGTTCACGTATTCAGAATGGATTTATAAAGACTCCGAAAAGTACGAGGATGACAAAGTTGATCCCATGTTTTCAGAAACTTCCCTGTGAGGATAGACTGAGGGCCCTGAATCTGCACACTCTAGAGAGGTGTAGAATTAGGGGGGATATGATTGAGGTGTATAAATGGAAGACAGGAATAAATAAAAGGGATGTAAATAACGTGCTGAAAATATTTAGCCTAGACAGGACTCGCAGCAATGGTTTCAAGTTGGAAAAATTCAGATTCAGGAAGGATATAGGAAAGCACTGGTATGGTAATAGAGTTCTGGATGAGTGGAACAAACTCCCAAGTACAGTTACTGAGGCTAAAACGTTGTGTAGTTTTAAAAATAGGTTAGATAAATACATGAGTGGGTGTGGGTGGGTGTGAGTTGGACCTGTTTAGCTTATGCTGCTAAGTCATTTGCCGTGTTCCTCCTTTATGTTCTTAACTCAGGATTGAACCTCGTTGCCTCAGCCCCCCAGGATTGAACCCCGTTACCTAAACTTCCCCAGGATTGAACCTTATTACCTCTCTTTCGCAGGATTGAACTTCATTACCTCAACGTCCCCAGGATTGAACCTCGTCACCTCAACTTCCCCAGAATTAAACCTTGTTACCTCGACTTCCTCAGAATTGAACCTCGTTGTCTCTCCCCTTCCCTAGATGCCATATGGCCCCTTACGGGCTTAGTGCTTCCCCACAAATATAATGTAACAATAACGTAAATAATACAAGTACATGAGGGTTTCCAGAATATTTTAAAGCACACATACAATGTCTCAGCTTAGTCCCAGCCTTATGCTGGCTCTTGGAAGCTAAAAGCTACTGACTCAGCTACTGTTACCATTTATCATCCATCTAACTATCTCAGACTATTTATACCTCAATTTACATGAGAATAATGGCATTATTTCCCGGTGTGGCCAGTCTCTGGCCAAGACAGCAGCTCATCTTTTGCAAGCTCAAGCTTATGTTATTATTTATAAGCTGAGAAGGGCCTCATACGAAAAGCGTTTCTTTGTTTATGTTTAGGAAGGCAGACGTCGCTGAGTAGCCGACCCTCACCAGTACGCTGTCGCTGATAGCCAACCCCAGCGTCACGGAAACCGCGCCGCGCATGCCAGACGTACGACGACTACGCTCCTGGCGAAATTTACCTCCTGTGCGATTAGAAACGCACATTGATCCATAACGTATATTGAAAATACATAATATAATGAATATAAATACTTCAAAGTCTCTCCTTTCTCCACGTAACAAGTATTTTAGCTAGAGTATTTAGTGTAGATCATCGTACATCGACACGCTGTCTGGTGTTGCCATATAAGGCAGTTTGAACACCAGTGAGAGGCATTGTTAAATACAATTTCATTGTATTACTTCGTACATTTATAAATTCTGTGATCTAGATGATACAAACTTTAGTATTTTTCGAATTAAACTTTAATAGTGTCCAGTAACTTTAATACTTTTGTGTGTGTGTGTACTTTTGGTACAAAATTATTAATTTTTACATAAATGAAAAATATATCTTTAAGCGTATAAGAGAAAATTTAAGGAAAGACTTAATTTTAAATGAGTTCTTGCTAACTGGCATTATATATATATATATATATATATATATATATATATATATATATAATCTGCACGATCCAGGGCAACATGGGTTCAGGGCAGGTCGCTCCTGCCTCTCACAACTACTGGATCACTATGACATGGCCTTGGATGCACTGGAAGAAAATCAGAATGCAGATGTAATATACACAGACTTTGCAAAAGCATTTGACAAATGCGATCATGGCGTAATAGCCCATAAAATACGTGCTAAAGGAATAACTGGGAAAGTGGGGAGATGGATCTTCAACTTCCTAACAAATCGAACACAAAGAGTAGTGGTCAACAGAGTTAAATCGGAGGCTGCCATAGTGAAGAGCTCTGTTCCACAAGGCACAGTACTCGCCCCCATCTTATTCCTTATCCTCATATCAGACATAAACAGAGATATACACCACAGCACCGTATCATCCTTTGCGGATGATACTAGGATCTGCATGAGGCTGTCA